CGAACGAACATGCGAAAAATCATCACCTTGAACCACATCCATAAGCATGCATTCAAGTGCAAAAGAACACGAATGTCGGCCAAATCTCAATTAAACAATCAAAACAGCGACATATATCCCAAAACATTTCACTTTTAATGCATCATATCGAATTACGATGATTCGAAGTGAAACGGTACTCAAATAAGCAAGCAAAACAACAAAACAGACCCACCGGCACAGTGCTAATCGGTTAACCCTAGGGGTTAATTGGTTAACACATTGTTAACGTTTAAAAATCTAAAAATTTGAACTGGTTAATCGGTTAACCATATGTGTTAACCGATTAACACTTTGAAACTTTGAAATTTTTTTGAAAATCTGAGATGGTTAATCGGTTAACCATATGCGTTAACCGATTAACACTGTGCCAACAGCAGAAAATCAGCAACAGAACAACATGTGCAGCAAATAAGCACTTATCCGATCAACCGGATGATCGCATAATCACTTAATCACGAAATTAAATCAGCAAATCATGATTCAAACAACATGTAAACAGATCTAAACAACAACCTCCACAATCATGTCAACCAAAATTCAATCGAATATGAAAATCAACATGAACATGCAAATAAGCTAAAAAATGCTATGGATCTAGAATTCCAACCTTCGAAGCGCAGAATTGCTTCGGTTAATGTTGAATTAACTGAAATTGAATAGATCCAATGCTAGAGGTCTGGAATACTTTAAGATCCACACCAATTCTTGTAGTAGCAATGGAGATCCTTCAAGATTAATCCAAAATAAGCCAAATAATCACTTCCAAAATCACTTCCAGATTCAGATCCAATTGTGCACGAAAATTGGATAATGAAATCACTTCGATGGAGATGATGGATGGAGGTTTGAGCTCAAGAATTCATTGATTCCAAGGAAGAATCAAAGAATTCAATGGAAAAGAGCTTTGAGTGAAGATTTTGGAATTGGAAAATTGAGAGAGAATTTGAGAGAATTGAGATGAATTCTGAAAAATGGGAGTGAGAAATGAAGATTAGCTCTCTTTGGTTTGGAGTGAATCACTTAAATATCACTTAGGTTTGGATCCAAAGGAAAGGCTTGGAAGTTGGTTTGTGAATTTTGGTTTGGGATGAGGAATGGGATTTTGGAGGGAAAATGAAATTAATCAAATTCTGAAATGATTTTAGATCCTTCCCAAGTGTAAAATTTAAATTCAAGTAATCAAAATTGGACCCTAAATGGCTCTGCGTTGAAAATTCACGTGCAGAGGCAAAATCTGCACTGGTTAATCGATTAACCATATACGTTAATCGGTTAACACCTTTAAAAAACCCCACATTGACCTGATTTGACTTGGTTAATCGGTTAACCGTATGCATTAACCGATTAACACCTTCAAAATTTTGAATTTGGCGCCTCCTGGAGGAAAATCTGCACATTTGCCCTGTTTCAACTATTTGGAGCCCCGTTAAGCTTCTGAACCTCATTCTTGAACGTTATCACTGTAAACACGCTTGACATGAGCCTGAATGCTGCCTTCTGAACTGCCGTTATCCTGCAAAATAAAATCGGTCGTCTGACCGTTGGGCAAAATAAATGCCCGAGCCTCTGATGCCCGTTGTTCGTTGTTCAGCCTTTTACGCCGAAATGAACCTGAGCCACCAGAATGCCTCGACCTCATGCCTCGAGAGCAAATGCTATGATATGCGGGAAAAAATGCAAAGAAATAAAAGCCAGTTAAAGTTAAAACGAAAGGGCAAATTTTGAGGTATTACACTTATCAAAATCTTCAACTTTAAAATCTTGTTGATTAGGTCCTTGATTCAAAGATTAAAAATTTAAACTAAATCAACAACAATTTGAATGGAAGATATCTTTTAAATGAGTAAAGACCAAATAAATAAGAAGGGTTTATTATCTCAATTATAGTTATTAGTTTGTTTATGTCCTACCAAACTATTTTTCAAGAATTGGACAAGCATAGCTAAATATAGTATACTCATTTAATTAAAAAAAACGAAATTTTTTGTATTCAATAAAATTGAAAAAAAAAATGGAAGAAAAAAACCAAATAGGATTGTAGAAGTTTTTCTTTTAAAATAAAAAATTATTTAACTACAGTTTGGATCATCTATTTTATCTGTTTCGTAAAATTGATCTTCCTTTTTAAAATTTAAATAATTTTTTTATTATCTCATATTTTGTACTTAAAATTAATAATGTTTTAATTTTTAAATAATTAGTTTTTTTATGAAACAGGACAGCTTATCATATCTAAATCTATCGTAAAATTTTATAAATACAAATATAAGTTAAAAAATAATATCTCATCAATTTAAAAAGAAATACCAGAGGAGATCAAAATGGTTTGAATTCTAAATATGATAATTAGTTTCCTGAATCACATATAATTGTGAGACGAAAATTGTATTTTAGCCTAGGAAAAAATATACATGATTTATTTTATTTCAAATGTAATTTTTTGACAATATATTTTAAAGAATCATTGTATAGTACTACTCTTTTAAACAACATATAAGACTTATGTAAATATTATAATTGACTACAATTTAAATTGTGTATACAATACACTGAAAGTTATTGACAATAAATTATTGTTTTATTGTATAGTTAAAATTTAAAATTTTATAATTAAATAAAAATGTGAAAATAAAAGTATTTAACAAACGTTCTTATAGATACATTCTTTTTAAAGTAAAACACTCTCTATGAACAGTTTTCTCGAATATTACCGTTATTAATAAATATAAATTATTGAAAGAAAAATAGAGATTTTAAATTGAAATTTAAATGGACAATTTTCTTTGTATACAATGCATTGAGGAAATGAGAATTTTTTTAAGGATGAAAAGTAGAAATTACTTTTAATATAGAATAAATATATATTATCATTTTGGTTGCACTTTCATACTTTTGCCTGGTTCAATTTTTTAAAATGAAAAGTCTCTTATGAAATATGACAAATGATGGTATATAAATTTATTGTAGAACATCATAGATAAAAATATAAATAAAAAATAAATATCTCATTAATTTTTTATTAAAAAATGTGAAAGGGAGACCAATTTAAATTAGAGTGAATAATTTCATGAATCACGTAAAATTGTAAATCAAAATTTTAATTTAGACTTGAAAAAAAAATGTTATATATGTTTTAATTATTTTAAAATATAAATTTTTTACAATACCTTTTAAAGATTCATTATATAGTACGATCCCTTTAAATAACATATGACTATGTAAGTATTATAAATTGACAATAAAATATTGTTTTAATGCATAAGTAAAATTTAAAATTTTATAAATAAATAAAAATGTAAAAGTAAAAGTAATTTAACAAACGTTCTTATGATACATTATTTATTTTTTAAAGTAAAACACTCTCTATGAACAGTTTTCTCGCATACTACCTTTACTTTATTAATAAATATAAATGATCGAAAGAAATTATTTATACAATGCATTGAGAAAATGAGAAATTTTTTAAGGATGAAAAATAGAAATTACTTTTAATATAGAATAAATATATGTTATAATTTTTTTACTATTTTAAATAAGATATGTTTTACTAATCCTATTTTAAATTTGACAAATGGAAGAAAAAAAACCAAATAGAGTAATAGAGGTTTTTGTTTTAAAATGAAAGAAATAAAATTAATTGCAGTTTCTTTTCCTCTATTTTAGTTTACTCATGAATTTTATTTCTCTATTTTAAATTAAAACTATTTTGATTGTATCTCATATTTTTGCCTTTAAAATTAATGATGGTTCAATTTTTTTAAATCACAAATTTTTTGTGATACATAACAAATGATCGTATATAAATTTATTATGAAAATTTATAGATAAGAATATTAATAAAAAATAAATATTTTATCATTTTTTTTATAAAATAATAAAATAAAAAGAGACCAAAACTATTTAAATTTAAATTAGAGTGAATAATAGAAAAAAATATAAGTTACATATGTTTTATTTATTTTAAAATGTAATTTTTTTACAATATCTTTTAAAGACTCATTGTATAGTACCAGCCTTTTAAATAACATATATGCATGACTATGTAAGTATTATAAATTGACTACAAAAATTGTGTATGCAATACACTAAATGAATACTATTGACAATAAATGATTATTTTAAAACATTAATTAAAAAATTAAAATTTAATCAATTAAATAAAAATTTAAAAATAAAAGTAATTTAACAAAAGCTCTTTTGATATATTATTTTTTTTAAAGAAAATCTTAACGAGGGTCTTGGATATTAGTTAAAAGATTAAAATGGTAAGTTGAATATAATTTAAAAAATTAAAAAAATATGTTTTTTTTTTCTAAATATATATGTTTTTGATACACCGAAAATAAAAATAACCAACTTTTTCTAAAACAATATTATATGTATTAAATGAACTGAATATAACATAATTTTTTTATTTTAAATTCTTATCTAATATCCCGAAACATTGGTTAGCATGATCCACTTGCTAAAAAGTAAAATACTCTAGACAGTTTTGTTTAATACTATCATTACTTTATTAATAAATATAGATTATTGAAAGAAAAAAATATTTTTAATAAAATTTTAAAAATGGACAATTTTATTTGTATACAATGTACGGAAAAATGAGAATTTTTTTTAAGGACGGAAAAGTAGAAATTTCTTTTAATATAGAATAAATATCTATCATAATTAATTATTAACTTTAAATAAAATATGTTTTTCTATATCTATTTAAGATTAATAGTATACCATACATTTTTATAAAATATATTAGAAAATGGGAAGTTAAGGGAAAATTCAAAGTTTTTTTTTTATTTTTTTGAAAATAGAATAAACAAATTATAGTTTTCTTTTTTTATTTTAATATTCATTCCTGTCCAACCCTATATTAATGTTCTCTTTTAACAAGATTTTTCAATATCTTTTTTACATTTTACTTTAGAGATAAAAGAGTGTCCTATCATTTCACTCTAAACATGGTGGTAGAAAAATCAAACCAATTAGAAGAGTTCAATAATTTAAGTTCAGAGAAAATAGCTGAAGTGAAAGCTTTTGATGATTCAAAAGAAGGTGTCAAAGGTTTGGTGGAGGCTGGGGTGTCAAAGATCCCACGCATTTTTCACAGTGGGAAGCTGAACATCGATGAAAGCTCGGCTACAGACATCAGGTTTAGTGTTCCCATTATTGATCTTAAAGACATACACAACAATCCAGCTAGGCGGGTAGAGGTGATTAGCGAAATTCAAAAGGCATGCTATGAATGGGGTTTTTTTCAGGTGATTAATCATGGAATTCCCGTTATTATCTTAGATGGAATGATTGAGGGAGTTCGTAGGTTTCACGAACAAAATCCTGATGTAAGGAGAGAGTTTTACACACGTGATACAAGTAAAAAAGTTAAGTATTTCTCAAACGGATCACCTTTTAGTGGCCAACCTACAAATTGGAGAGATTCATTCGGTGTTACTGTTTCTCCTGATCCATTCAAACCAGAAGATATACCATTATTATGCAGGTAATGAAATACATAATCCTTTGATTCTTACTCTCCAAGTCATAATCATATTTCATTGTATTTTTAGACTTTGACATATAAGTTATATATATTTTTATGCTAAAAAAAAAGATATATTTTTAAGCTAACATCAAAACTATTTTAACTATTGATGAGTTGATTTCATACTTGCAGAGATATTGTGATTGAGTATTCCCAAAAAATTAATGATTTGGGTTTCACTATGTTTGAGTTGTTGTCAGAGGCACTAGGACTCAACCCTTCTTTCCTCAAAGAGTTTAATTGTGCGGAAGGACACTCTATTCAGGGTCATTACTATCCACCGTGCCCTGAACCCGAACTGACTTTGGGTGCTTCTAGTCACACTGATGCTGACTTCATCACATTACTTCTACAAGACCATATTGGTGGTCTTCAAGTTCTTCATGAGGGTAAATGGGTCAATGTTCCTCCAATTCACGGAGCACTTGTTGTAAACATAGGAGATCTTCTACAAGTATGTATTATAAATCTTTGTTATCTTTTATCATTAGTTAATTGCCTCGTATGAGTTTTACAAATTTTATGTATTTAAAAGGATATTGATATATGTTCAACAAAAACAAACACTCAAATTTTTTAATCATTTTAGGATTGTTTTTATTTTAATGCAGAATTAAATTTTCAATCTAAAACCTGCAAAATTCATGATTTTAATACAAAAACCGAAGAATATACCATTTGTGTACTCAATGAATGTGTATATTCCTCTCAATATTAAATCATGTCCTTTTTTACATGAAATTTAAGCACACCAACATGCCTTGTGTTTATATATATATATATATATATATATATATATATATATATATATATATATATATATATATATATATATATATATATATATATATATATATATATATATATATATATATATATATATATATATATATATATATATATATATATATATTTGTCATTATAAAATAAAACAAGTGTGTCATAAATTTCTAAGAGATTCTTCTAGACTCTTACACTATTACTAATATGTGGTTCAATATAATGACTTTATTTTATGTTGTTGCAGCTTATCTCAAATGACAGGTTTGTAAGTGTTTATCATCGAGTCTTATCAAAGAAAGAAGGCCCAAGAATTTCTGTTGCAAGTTTCTTTGTGAATTCGCCTCACCCAAGTGAAGGTGAATTAAAGATTTACGGTCCTCTTAAGGAATTAATTTCAGAAAAAACCCCACGGATTTATAAAGACATTAGTATAAAAGAATTTTTGGCACATTATTATACAAAAGGCCTCGATGGAAATTCTTCCTTGGAACCCTTCAAGGTTTGAGTACAACATGACATAATATTTGATATTTTCATCGAGCAGATCATAATCTATTTGAGTAATTAGTCTCATTTTTTGCTATAAGCATGCTTTATATGTATCAAGTTTTGGATATTGGAATAAATGAATTATCTATGCTCGTTGGCATATTTTAAAATAATTAGGTTGAATAAGTTAACCAATACCTTTTAAATTAGAGGAAATACGTCCTATATTTTCAAATAGAAAAAAGTCACGTAACAGCTGCATGATGAGAAAATATGGTATTAGAGACAAATTGAATGAGCTTGTTGACTGTAAACATTAAATATGACCTAACTTATATTTTGTTCAATTGTTGTAACTTTAAGGGAATGTTCATTTCTCCTCGAAAATAGTTTGATAAAAATAATCTAGTAATAATAATAAGGTAGCTAATTGAAAATTTTCAACTCTATAGGTTACTATATGGTATTGGTTGGGAATATAAGTGAAAAAGTGTATAAATGGGATTGATAAGACCTATCCCTTTTAAAAATGATTTTGAAAAAATTTAACACAAAAATCAGAGTTTAGTATGAAAATGCTAAAATAGCATAAGAAGGAAGCATATAATCTAGTCACTATGGATTCTAACCAATAGATTTCAATGTCATCACTAACAGAATGACCAAACAAGGACATAAGTCAACTTGAACAATTCAAATTCCTTAATCTAATGAAAATAATGTCTCAACTTAGACACGATGTTTAATACAATAAACTTAAGCATGACTCAATAAGATGCAACATAGACCTACGCTTACACAATAAATCACCAGAACCATGATCTTAACCTAAATGACATATAAATTATATGCTATGATTTAGCTCTACATGCTAAACAACGAAAATTAAAAGAGACAGAGAAGTACTAAAGTACAAAGAAATATAGAGTGGTTCGACAATCATCTTCACTATGCCTACTCCACTATTCAATGGTTTTAAACCATTCGGTAAAATAATCACGTCTTCCACTATTTTAAAGATTTAATATACAAGTATTTTGGTACAATGAACTATCATCAATTCAGATGCTAATATCCACACTGCATTAGCCTACACACAAATCCAATGACATTTTTATTTTGTTGATGCAGATACTCAAATACTACACACAAGATCCTTAATGATCTTGATACAATAATCATCCTATCCATAATAACCTTCCCCAAGCTTCCTTTCTTAAACATTCTTCCCTCGAATCTAGCAAAGACTTGTCTGAGTGATTTTCATTAGCCTTGATTAATTAGATAACTCCCTTTTTTTAGACAACCTTTACATGGTTTCACCAAAGTCTTCAATAGAGTACAAAGACACTCTTCTCTCTTTGTAGACAATACATAACAAAAATCCATGTCCAAGAAATATTCTTCTATCTGATACACAAAAATATAACTTTAAAGAAAAACATTAGATTCCATAATATACATTTTATCTACCTCTGAAACTCAATCTTTAGAGTTGAAGGACCATAACAATGGTTCTTGACAAAGGTTGAAGAGTATGAATAGTATATGAAGAATTTCACACACACAACTAAAACTCACAAGATCCATATTATAGGAGGTTAATCACAAGGTATCGACAAAGAATTTGGTGTTTGTGAATGAAAAACACTTTCTAAGTTCTCTTTAGGGAGGATGGAGGAATGGGTAGATGAATGATAATGAAAATGAGTAATGTTATAGAAATGAATTAAGTGGGTTTGGTGTGAGGGAAAATTTGAAAATTAGTCTAAATAAGAAGGTGGAGTGTCTTGGAAATGGAAAGGATTTTTAATGAAATGAAATGAGTAGAAGAAGAAAATGAAAATTCACACGTAGAAGACATTGACTTAACACGTTATGAGTTAAGTTATAGGAGTTGTGCGAGTCTAATAATTCTTTGAAATTTCGAATTTTTTTTGCTTTGACTCGAATTAATGAAAGAAGGTGATTTGAATCAAGGTGAGCAGTAGCATTTTTCTTCTTGTAATTCGAACTAAAGTTTTACCGTGAGTCAAATTATACCACTTGTTTTTGAAAGAATTTTTTTTTAAAAACAATGAAAAATGACTGAATGCTTATTAAACAAAAATATTAATGATATGGAATTTTAATATGATGAAAATGATGAATGGGATTTTAATGTGATGAAAAATAATGACTAAATTTTTTTATTTTAATGGAATGCAAAATAGTTATATGCAACTCTAATGAAAAAAAAAATATGAAATGCGAAATAATGATCTGCACCTTTAATGGAAAAAAAGATATGAAATGCCCACAATGATGAGCGATGCATGTATGTATAGTGAATTTTCGGATAAAAGGAAATAACAATGATGCCAAATGTTCAAATGAAAAAGATATACATAGCACATATAACACGTACATATTTATTTCACTCAAAAGTTGCATTTAACATACGAGAACAAAAATATATATGTGTACTACAACAAGAATAAGTGATATTGGAACCATCGTACCAATTTTCATGATCTATTACTTAATTTTATGCACACATAAAAAGTTAGTATACTACAACAATTACACTATAAGCAAAAAAAAAATGATCAGTCGTATGCAAATTGATACGACTCCTTAGCATGTCTAATACAATTTTTCATAAGACATCATATGAACTTGCACAAAACATGTTCTTATCTTATTTGATTATCTTTTCAAGAGTAAGAACATGAATAAATACTTCATTTTATGGATAAATGTTTGATAATCTAGGACTCCTGCTTCAAAACTTTGACGATGATTTGGCTCCTTCAAAACTTTATGCTTTGAACCTATGATAGTTTATTGATAAACAATAAACATTATTAATATTCATAAATTTTCTTCATCTTCTTACACAACGACCTTGAAAGAATAGGTTAAAGTAGATATTTCTTCTTTCATTTCCTAGTTATCCATGATTCAAAATAATTTTCATGTAAACAATACGTCATTATAATTTTTCAGTAGTCATTAATATAAAATTAGAAACGCAAAGCAAGATTTCTGGTCAACTTTACATACATCTCAACAAATTGATTAGTTCAATCCTAGATGAATCAAACTTATAGAATCTTTTAATTTAATTTGTGATCGACGAACATTCTAGAAGAGAATTACTTCATATAATTCCTAATTGAATAGTCAAAGATGAATCAATCACCAACATCTCAATGAAATATGTATGGTTTCCACTTAGATGAGAAAACTTCAAAAAAAAAAAAGGAATTTTAGGATCAAAATTTTTTTATATTCCTGACACTTGAAGTTGCTTATACTTGATCAAAAGACCATATAAGAGGCTACTTGTTGGTTGGGAATATAAGTGAAAAAGGTCTGGAGGGGTGGGGGTTTAATAGACCTATCCCCTTTAAAAATTGTTTGAAAACTTTTAACACAAAATTCAGAGTTTAGTAATCGAAAGCTAAAATAACATAAGATGAAAGCATATAATCTCATCACTATGGATTCTAACCAATGAATTTCAATGTCATCACTAAAAGAATGATCAAACAATGACATAAGTAAACTTGAATAATTAAAATTTCCTAACCTAAGCAATTTAATATCTCAACTTAGACATATTGTTTAACACATTCAACTTAAGCATGACTCAATAGGTTTTATACAACGTAAACCTACACTTATACACTAAATCACTACAAGCACGATCTTAACCTAAATAACACACAAATTATGCTATGATTTATCTATACATGCTAAACAACAAAAAATTAAAATAGTTAGGGAAGGAAGAAAACACACAAAGATATATAGTGATTTGCCAACTGGCCTTGCTATTCCTGCTTCATTCTTTAATGGTTTAAAACCATTGGAAAAAATAATAACATATTCCACTATTTTTAATAGTTAATATACAACTATTTTGATACAACAAACTATCATAAATATGGATGCTAAAAACCATGCTACATTAACATACACACGAATCCAATGACAATTCCTTTTGTTGACGCATATACTCAACTATACACACAAAATCCTCAATTATGGTGATCTAATAATCTTGATATCCACAATAACCTGCTCCAAGCTTCCTTTTTACAACATTTTTCACACGAATCTGACGAAGACTTATCTGAATGATTGTCATTAGCCTCAATTAATTGGATAACTCCCAACTTTTTTCTGCTACAACCTATACACGGTTTCACCAAAGTATCCAATGGAGTATAGTAATATTCTTCTCTCTTTGTAGATAACACATAACCCAAATCCATTTCCTAGAATTGATTTTTCCACTTGATACACAAAAACATAACTTCAAAGAAAACATTACATTCACTAACGTATTTTTTATCTACCTCAAAAAATCAATCTTTAGAGGTAAAGGTTCATAACGATGGTTCTTGACAAAGGTTGAAGAAGATGAATAGTATCTGAAGAATCTAAAACACAAAACTAAAATTTATATGATCCACATTCTAGTAGGTCAATCACAAGGTATCTATAAGGAATTAGGTGTTGGTGAATGAAGCACACTTTCTAATTTCTCTCAATGTTCTTCTAAAATATGGGTTTTTAGGTTCTATGTGGTTGTTCTAAGATTGAACAATCCAATCACTTGATTGATAAAACACACACACACACACACACACATATTCTCTCTCTCTCTCTCTCTCTCTCTCTCTCTCTCTCTCTCTCTCTCTCTCTCTCTCTCTCTCTCTCTCTCTCTCTCTCTGTCTCTGTCTCTCTGTCTCTGTCTCTGTCTCTCTCTCTCTCTAAGTTTCTCGGTCTTCAACAAGAACAACAACGATTCTAGAGATATGTTTCCTCACACTTTTTTTTGTTGATATTTTCGCACTTGGTGACACACTCACAATCATTGACAAAAAAGGAATAAATCAACACTACAAAAATTATATACAACAACTCACACATTACGACAGTCTTTTGAAGGACCATGGTGATATCTCAAAATTCAGGCGCCAATTTTTTTTTATTTTTTAATTAAAAATTGTTAACTTATTACCA